GATGCAGACAGACAGCATCCCCATGAATGCGTGTCTCGTGTAAATGGAGGAATTTTCCTGAGATGATGGCAAGTCAGCATCCTGCTTCTTGCAGACATCACTCCCCATCGCGTGGCACCAAATCCCCCCCCCCCCCCGTCGTGCTGGGTCCCAATTTTGTCTTCCACGCAGTCCTTCCCCATCCAGGAGTGTGGCAGCGTCCACAAAGTTGGCGAATTTCAGGAGTGGGAGTGGAACAAGTTAACCAAAAACCTTACCTAATAAGGAACAGGCCTCCCCACATCGTATACTCCTGAGCAGGGGGACCGGATATACCCCCCCCCCACACCACCACCCCCACACCACCACCAAATACACACAGGCACACGCCACGGCCACCCACGTTTCAGCAGGACCCCTGACAGGCACGGACTGTCCCCGGCAGAGAAGGTTAGCCTGGCCAAGTCTATAAACACACTGGAGACTGGGGGCTGCAGACCAAACCCACAACCCAGGGCCTCCTGTTCCTCTAAGAGAGAGACGGGGGTCCATCACTGACGGTAGCGAGAGGACAGCTAAGCAAGAGCCGATGGAGGGGCCAAGACTCCACAATGACGGGCGGGGGAGGGAATTCAAGCACCAGATTGGCTCATAAACAACTGACAGGGGCCCCTGGAGGGGCCCAAAAAGGAAGCCCATTATAGGTCAGCTATCTGACTATACTATAAAGCCACCACTTTGGCTGGGTGAGGGTACACAGACACTCGGGACGGATCTCTGTTTGGCCCCAGACCAGAACCAGCATCGGGAGGATTTGTCCTGCATTTACTGGCGTGCCCGTGTGTGGGTGCGTATGTTTTGGAAGGGGGAGTCATGATCCTCTACTGGTTCCCAGTGTTTGACGTGCCCCCACCCAGACACCAGAAGTGACAAAGTTCACAGCTCCCTGACGCCGAGCTCTCCCCCAGCTGGCTTCAATCACCCTGGGGGAGGCCAGGCGCTCATGCTAATCGCTAACACCTGAAACGCTGAGCGCGGCGGCTTCGCGGGATGGGGGGCGGATGGGCGATGGCACCCACGTGTGGAAACGCGCCGATCGCAGGCTTCATTTACTGTATGCCCCACTGGAGGTGGGGGGGGATGTGTCACTGTCATGGCAACCGGGACAACAATGAAGGCGGCATAGGGATGGCATGAGAGAAGAATGTGAGGTGTTCTCCATTACACCGTCCATTCTGTGCGGGCGCGTACCATTCAGCCTGTGGCCATATGCTGGCTGCAGAATTTGTTTTTCTTTTTGGCCTATAAGTAATAAGGTCTTTGTGCGGAAAGCCACCGGCAAAGAGAGCCTGGGAACTATCACCTGCCTGCCCCCCCAGAGCCCGGGACAGAGCTCATCCCGCATTCCTGTACCCCCCCCGGGGCGGGAGGGTGATGGTCCGTCCGGCAGGGGGGGGGGTCGGCCGGAGGTCGAGCAAGGACACTGACGGAAGACAGGGCCCATGCGCCCCCACCCCCCCCCACCCACCCACCCACCCGTGGCTGCCAAGCTTTTTGGGAAGATCCACGGTGGGACCGCTGGTGCTCACCCCCCCCATCAAGAGGCCTGGAAATTTACTCTCACAGAGTTTTACTGCCTGTTACTTCCAGTTGAAGCCGCGGTCAGGATGTTCTTGTGTGCATTTCCTGCTGCTTCGGGGAGCCGTACGTCCAGCAATTTGTACTTCTGTATGGGGGGGGGGGTTTTTGTGTATTTTTTTTATATTATTTCTTCCTAATCGTCCAATTACACATAGCGGGCTAAATGAACCCGGGACCCAGCTGTAGACAGGATGCCCCGTGCTGGGGACCCGGGGGCGAGTTCCTGTGAGGTCAGCAGGCAGCCGGTCACAGTGCAGAGCAGCGCTGAGCCCCCAGGAGAGTCAGCCTAATGGGGGGGGGGGTGCCGGTTTTGGGACACAGAAAGGCCCCTTTAATAATGAGCCTCAGAAGCCCCCTCTCTGGTCTAATAGACCCACTTTGACCTTGGGGGGGGGTTAGCACCGTCTCATATTGAAACATCCTTGCCTGAAAGGTAAAGACTGCATGCAACCTGTGGTTACCCACACGTGCAGTAAAATCCCCCCCCCGCCCCCCCCAAAATGAAGGTAATAAAGGATAACACAGGGGACAGGTGAGAGTGCAGAGCTATTGTCTACACAGGTCTTTTTAATTGATGGGTGATGATGAACGGGGTGGGGGGAGGGGGGTCCTTTGATGATGTAAATACAAGGAGGAAGATAATGGAAGTCAAATCAAGGCACGGTGTGAGTAATTATAAGGGGTTACAGTGACTGCTGGCAGTTTAAAATGATAATGTCCCATATAGGGGGGGGGACCACAAAATCCACTTAGGGAAGGAGCTCAGAAATCAAAGTGGGTCGGATGGAGGTGACCTGCTGGGAGTTCCCAGCGGTTACCGGTGACCTTCGACCCCCACGTCACATGGCACCCCCTGGTATGTCTCAATCCAGGCGCGGGGCCTGGGCACGCTCTGAAGCTATTGTGTTACCCCGAGTTTTCAGCGGGTTATAAATAGGCTTCACACAGGAGTGACGCTAAACAGGATTCCTAAGCTTTCTTTTAACAGACGGCCGCAAGTTGGTTTTCTTGGATTCTTAAAGCGTATGACATCCGCCAGTATCATTTCGGTTCGCTCAAATTTAAAGTCCTGCCATCTGATCTTAATATAATCAAGATGAACTAAAATTCACAAGAAACCATTTAAAAAATACCCAAGTAAATCTGTTGTTGTGAACTTACTTTATGCCCAAAATAAGTTGTTTTGTCTTTTACTAGCCTTTTTAAGCATCCCTGCTCCCTTTGGCAAACCTCACTTGGACACTATGCTCCAGACACCAACCTGCAATTTCAGTCTTGACCTCTAGGGGGAGACATTGGGGATCACTGAAGTAAGGACTGCAGCCCCATCTGTTCCCATAACAAAAATACCATTCCCTTCTGATCCTGCCTCCAGCCAGTACCGCACGCCTTGGGTGTCGGGTAGCTCCTGCAGCTCCTAAATGGAAAGAGCGTCTCGCTTTACAAAGACGTGTGCTAAGGTGCCTCCCTCGGCATTTCAAAGAGGCACATCTCAAACGAACACTCTGACAGCTCTAGTGTGTACACCACAGCGATCAGATTCCCCGTCGTGACGTAATGGAGGGCCCTCGCATCTGACCTGGCGGGGCATGCACCCAAGATGAACACGCATTTTGGATAAACACGGGTCACTCTGGGGCCTTTCTGTGCCTCTAATTATTGGTCCTTGGCCGAAAGGTCCGCTTCAGTCTGAACAAAATACAGGTGCATCACGTCTGCGAGATTCCTGAGTGTCCCAGGGCCTATTTAATTTCCCAAGAAAAGAGCCAAATTCACGAAATTGCTGCAGGCAGATGAAGCTGGGGATTATGGGTGTTTTACCCATCATCACGAATGGAAATGCAAACAACACAGATGGGTGCAACGACACACAGCTGTTATGTCTCACAAGCCCAGAAAACTAGCCAAAAACATGGAGCCAATCGATGAGCAGACTGTAACAGGCAGGTCGTAACCAGTGCTGTCCGGTCTACCTGGGGTAAAGAGTCACACCTTCGCTGGAGAAGTAAATGTGGAGCCTTAAATCTCTCTTCAACAAGCCGGGATACATCCCACAACGTGAGCAGAACCTCATTACTGCTACGGAGGCACAGGTGCCGCCCCCCCACACCCCAAAGCTGCCAAAACACACACTAACCCTACCAAAGAGTTATGCCGTCCTGATGCATCATGGGGGTTCAAAATCCATCCAGTGGACGGAGGGGGGGCAAACGGAAACACCATTGCTCAGGGTGAATGTAAATCCTAACAAGGGCAGTGAGCTGGGGGTCAGGCTGGGCCAAGCTCACGCTTCACAGCTCCTGCTGCCGGCCAACAAGTTCAGGGAGTTTGAGTTTCCAGATCGAGGGGCCAGGCTGCACAGTCAGCCGTCGCCAGCAGATAACCAAGAAAGGACAGGGAGATGAGCAAAGAGGACAGAGAAAACCGAAAAAATCTCATCCTATCCATAGTACCCCCCCCCCCCCCGGTCTAGTGTCCAGGGATTCAGCAGCCTCCTGTCAAGGGGGGGATCTGGGATGGACCCCCACTGCACCACTTTGGATAAGCGGTTCCTGCAAATGGCTAAACAGACGTTTCATAAAAGACTTTAAAGGGAATTTTTTGCTGTTCGTTTTCTTGGCTCAAAACGAGCAAGTCTTCGGCAGAAACAAAAGAGTAATTGTGATGCAATTGTCAGTGGTCCTACTGGCATGAGGGGGAGAAACAGCAGTGTGGCCTCTGCCTGGGAGAGACGCGAAGACAAGCATGTCAGATACAGAAGCCTACGGCTTGCTTTGCGCTCCCGATCGCGGCGGACGCCACCCTGCGTCAAGCGTGGGGTTTATGCTGTGCACAAGTCGGGAAAGTAACGCGAGAACAGACGCAGCCCGCATTGTTGCAGCCATGGAAGGACCAAAATCCCATTATTGCATATGACCTTAATAATGCAAAATGAAATACGTTCATAAAGCTGTTCTGTAACCAATATTATTTTCACCCGTACTCTGGAAAAGGGACGTGTGAACCAGTAACAGTTCTTGTTCGCGTTTCTGTGTAGATTTATAAAAGCCAACCTTACTTTCTAAATCCTGCACTATCGGCATTGCGTCGAAAACTAATTCAGAGATTGAGAAAAACACGGATATAGCCGACAAATGCCCCCCGGCAGCAGTCCCCCGCTCCTCCACACTTTTAGTCCGTTAATATATCCAAAATTAAATCGGTATGTGTTTGAAAGATAAATGACGCCTTGATGGATCCTCTGAGATTTCTACACAGGTACTACCAAAGCAAAATATAGTTTTTGATAGAAAGAAAGAAAGAAAGAAATGAGCAGACATTGAGGTGTGTGCCCGGTGCTGACGGCCCGGGGCCGGCAAGGACGCGGCGCCGCGACGCACCTGGCGGGCAGGAGCAGGGCTGCACCGCTTCTCTGGCCGTGCGCTGCTTCGGCTGGGCTTCGCTCAGCCTCTGAGGAGCCAATGAGAGGGAGAGAGAGGGAGGGAAAGAGTGAGGAGGCGCATGTAAAGTCTCATGCTCCTTTGGGTTTGTTCGGGCGTGCAGGAAGCCCGATGGAACGCTGGAGCGGACTTGCGAATTATAGCCGTACTACCTGCAATATTTCGGCAAATTATATAAATTGGCACGCGGCAAAAACTTTTAAATAAAACCGAGCATGCAATCTATGGGTTACAGGCTAGTGAACCATATATAGCGCCTGCAAATAAAGCATTGATTTAAATATATATATATATATATATATATATATATATATATATATTTGTGAAAATAAAATGCGATTAGCCTAACATACCGCTTCCCTAGTCATACTAAAATTACAGGCGTTTTTTTTAAGATGACCCATATGTTACTTTCAAAGAGTTGAAACTTTGTTTTGGATAAATCTGTTTCTTGTCATTTTACATGAAAAAACAGGTCCCTGTGCTACTTGTTGAACTTAGTATTAAATTATGTTTTTAAATAACAACCATTAAAGCGAACCTCATTCAATCCAAACTGAATGCACTGTCAGAACTGAGCAAGCGCTGCGCTCAATTACGCCCGGATTTCACAAGATATGAACTTTTAGCTTTTAAAAAAAGGGCTGAACACATTTGCTAAATCCCGAGAAACCCATTAAAGGACACGTTCATTAATTTTGCAACAAACTAATCTAGATTGCACTGATGCGTGACACTGATGCGTGAAAAACAACCATTAATTACGTTTCACCGGACAACTTCAAGCTCAGTAACGCTTACTTCTCACATAATTGTGATATTTCAGAATTTGTTAACTTACAAAGATAACTATGCTAACCTTTAGAACAGCTGTGTAATTACACGAGCGTGTCACTCAATGACATTGAAACCTTGAATGCATCGTTTCCGACTAAATGACAGGACTAGGGCTCTTCACTCAGAAATACCGATAAATAAATCATGCTAATATATAGGCCAACTTGCGCAATCTTTACAAAAAAGATACAGCTGTTAAGTGATGTTCTTTGTTTTTAATTTGCGTATTAATCGTGGGAAAATGTGTGCAGTGGCGTTTTAATAAGCTTGTAAACGTAACGCCAAAATCTTGATGTAAAAGTAGGTGCTCGTCATCTTTGACATGCACATTAATTCACCTACCTCTTCAACAAGTTTCTCAATCGTGTCCCGAAGTCCAGGTACTACATCCCCATATTTGCCCAGAAAAGGGGTTTCTGGGGACAGCGCTTTCTCCATCTCTAAGGCGTGCAAGCGAAGTTCTAGCTGGGACGTTTTGGAAGTCATCAAAACGCAAATTACGATCGAAGTCAGAGACAGCGTGAAGCACACGACTGTCGGCATGGTCAACAAAAAGCTGAAAACCAGAGATCGAGGGTTACTTCGGCCAAATAATGGCTTGTAATCTGTAGTGTTTTCCGCAGAGGCCATTCTCGAGAGTTCTTGGATTCAGGCAGCTTCTGGTAAAAAATCACTTGTTGAAGCTACTGAGTAAAAGTTTCCTCACATTTAAAGAGTGTGACACTTTTTGCTTTTTTTTGCCAATGGCCACAAAACAATCCCCGGACAGAATGCTCCTTAATAAAACAAAAAAGTAAAAAAAAAAAAATAGAGGTGTAAAGTTTTCAGATCTTTTGTATTTATGAGAGCAATGCACACTGATCGCTCCTCGCACCGACTGTAAAAAACGAATATTGCAGCTGACTGCAGTCGCACCAGGACACTCAGGTTATTCTGCTTATAGCGAGCGGACCTCAGTTGCGAGTTACTTGATTCAAAGTTGGGGCTGATGCGCCCGCCCCAGTAACCACGTGGGTAAAGACTAAAGGCAGAGCTGCGCTTAGTTATTTACGATACTTTACGGAGACAATTATGAGGCTGACAAGCGTTTAAAAAACTTATTCTGTTCTTTATGTACTCCTCAGCCGTGCAATTAAATTAGAAACTGTGATTAATACGTAACAACTGGCTGGTTATGAATATATATAGCCTAATTATTTCAACAACCCGGTAAGCATGATTTAAGCTACTTTTCGTGTTTTCGCAGATATAACGAAAACATATTTTAATTGTCATTTTCCAAAAAGGGAGCAATCCAATAAAAGTATTGTTGGTTATGCAAGATTCCCTTGCTATTTTGTTTGTGGTTTAACCCCCGCTATGTCATGCCTGCATCCGCCGAAAGATAACGGCAAACCAAATGGCTCTTTATCACTAACGTTCCCCCTGCAGGTTTTTCGCAAATTGACCATTATTACGCCAATTGATATCGAAAAGGACATGTAAATGAAAACATACATCTAAATTAATGGCGTTACACACTGAGCACGGAAAGGATGGACAAACAGATTCATTGATTACTGAATGGATGTGACGGAATTAATATTAAGTGGAACAATGACAGAAGTGATCATTTTAAAAATCCAAAGCTGAATTATTCTAGTTAATTCTGACCTTGTTTTAAGTGCTGGACAAAATAGAACGGTTTCATCTCGAAGCATTTGGCTATTTTCTGTCCTTGGTGCTGAACATAGGCCTACTTAATTTTTAAAACTAATTAATCAATCCCCTTTTGTAATTTTATTACGGTTTAATGACATTGTGGCACCAACAACTGCTAAAGATGGACATTATTAAACTACCGTAAGCTTTATAATACCAATTACATTACTTAAACCGTAAACGGTTTCATTTTCGGGAAACACATGCAGTACAGAGCGCAAGATATTCTAATTATCTCGGTATATTTTACATCTATTTTTTATTTTAAAATTTGTGTAGAGGAAACATAATTCGTGGTATTTTAATATCATCGTAGGAAAGCAATTAAGGCTTTAACGACACCACCAGAATGTTCTACATTTGGCAAAGCAATAAGTCCCTGGTTCCCGTACCACTTCTGTGTTTGTGACTGAATCGATTTCATACGCAGATCTTTAGCGCTGTTATGAGTTTGATAGCAAAATAAATCAGCTTCGGCTACAATAGCACGTCTTTGCGTTATTTTCCTTTGGAATAAGTGAGAATAAAAGCCGGGAGTCTCTACACATCTTCTCAAGGGGACAGGGAAAGCGATAAAATAGTAGCGTGAGATCTACCAGTCAGAGGAGCTAAACTAGTCCAAGATGTGATGTCAGTCACCCTTCGGGGCCTGAAACTCAGCCCCTTAAACTGAATCACACTTGTCTCCCAGGGTACTTACACGTAATAACGGACAGTAGCTCATACAACTTTCGGCATCTTCTGGCCAGCTGTATACCACGACTTGTGACCTTTTCCATTACCAGCAGAGGAATTTAATATGGCAACATTATGCGCTTCACCGCAGAAACTCCGCCACGAATAAAGGTCTTCACAGTTTTTGTCTGTCGCCAAGTTATATTTACAGCATCGGTGGAGAGTGTCCACCTAAGTGCGCCAGCAATTTCATCTGACGTCAAATCATTAATCTCGTCATGCTAGAAGACATCTTTCCTTCGGAGCAAAGTACTCTACCGCCCCCTGGTGCATGCGTGCGTAACAGCGAGGACCAACAGCATTCTCTTCATGTTAATTTTATTTAATCAACCATACAGTATTTTGAAGAGTACAAAAATGTCGACATTAAACGGAAAACACACCCACATCTAAGAGCTATAAATTACACTGTAAAAGATTTGAATAACTGATTTCCCTGGCAAAATGCTACATTAACACATTCAACATTAGGATGAACCAAACGTGGACTGATACAGTCTGCAAAAATCTCCCCCGGAGAGTCAAGCAAGGGTTATGAGCAACTGGCGACTGGTCACTTTCTTTTCCCTTTCCTTAGGGGCTCAAAAAACGGGTGCTTCATGGCGTCCTCCAGGGTGATTCTCTTGGACACGTCGTATTCCAACATCTTCTGAATGAGGTCAAACAGCTGCTCGTGTTCAGAGCTCTTCGAGGCCATGTATTGCTATGACGAACCATAAATACAGATTATTTTCTGGAATTGATTTTAGAGGACGGGTTTTAGCTCCACAAAACACTCATTTAATCCCTGTAGTCTCCAATGAACTCACCCTTAGTGGCCTGCAGTGCTTCCTCACGTATCGGCCTGAGGAGCTCTGTTCATCCCAGTCCAGCTCTCCGTCACGAACATATCGCTGCTTCCTGCAAGACCGCAGAACCGCAGGTCAGTGATGTTCCGTCATAAGATGCCTTCCTAAAAGCTCCCACTGAATATCAACAGCACCAAACACACCTGGTTTTCTGGAGAAGATGGGCAGGTATCGGACCCAGAACTCTCTCCATCATGGCCAGATGTTCCTTGCTGTCGTGAGTCTGCAGGACCAAAGTATGTTAACCACAGGAGCACAGCAGCAGATAATCAGTACTGCTTCCCAACACTAGAGGGCTCACCTGGAACACCGTTACTCCAAGGTAATACTCAAGGAAAATGCAGCCCAGACTCCAGACATCACACGAATGATTCCAGCCCAAGTCTGAAAAGACAGGTTCCTTTTGTTTACTAGGGAAACACCCCAAACAAACATGCATACAAACAGGTGGTGTAATACTGAGCAAACTCACCAAGTATGACCTCTGGTGCTCTGTAATGTCGGGTTGACACCACAGAAGTATGGTGCTCGTGTTCATACGTGGCATTTCCAAAGTCTACCACCTTCACGTCTGGCTTTTTCAAGGTCCGCTCATCTCGTTTCTGGATTTGAAAGAAGGATATTGATGCAGTAGATGCCTTAGCATGAGAAAGTGGACAAAGGGGGAACGGATTTAGCCGGGCAAAAACATTAGAGACTGTTAGAATCAACGGGACTGTTCAGTATCTCACCATTTTGACATTGTAGTCCATTGAGTATTCAGAATTCACAAAGAGAATATTCTCCGGTTTCAGGTCAGTGTGAGTTAATTTGTTCCGATGGAGAACTTAGAGGAGAAAATACAGACAGATATTACATTAACAAATAAAATGGCGGTTTAAGAAGGCAAAACCTACAATGTTAACTTCAAAAACGTATAACCATCTCTCCATACAAAACTACCTACAGAGAAAATCTGAAAACGGGCAAAGCAAACATTAACCAATTAAAAGTACTTAGAGGTGGGCGATAAATCGGATTTTACCGATTAATTCGAATGTACAGTTCAGGACGATGTATTTTTATGAAAATCGATTTTATTACTTTACACGCGAGCGCCAAAAGCGGAACTAATGCGACGCACCGTTCTTCACGGGTACATTAGCGCGCCGCACCCAAACACTGTAGCGGATTCACAAACAACAGGGCAATGGTTCGGTTTTGCGCCGTCGGACACAGACCAAACAAGTCCTCGTTGCAAAGTATGTTTAAAAACTGTTGCAACCAAAGGAAGCAGCACGACAAATGTATTCCAGCACCTAAAGCAGAGGCACGCAGCGGAGTGGGAGAAGTGCAGCTCCCAGTGAAATGAAAATACACACAGCAGCATTACAACATCCAAAGTTAAGCAAGCAACCGTCCCTGACACGTTTTCGAACTGTGTGCCATATGATAAGAATGGCGCACGGTGGAAGACGATAAAAACCGCTCTCGCGATGTATATTGCAAAAGACATGGTGCACATACATACTGTGGAAAAGCCGGGATTCATTAACATGATAAAAGTTTTTACAAGTTTCTAAAAGTGTTTACAATGGAGTGGTCTGCCATCTCACAAGCATCTTTTTTGGCTTGTCAGATTGCACTTTAGAGTTAAAGTGCATAAAATAAAGTTAAAACTTGTTTTGAACCATTTATTTGTCATCTGTAGTTTGATTTTGAGTAGGGGAGGGGAAAGTCGATTAAAATCGAAAATCGGATTTACTGTGAAAAAAATCGGAGATTTTATTTTTAGGCCATATCGCCCAGCTCTAAAAGTACTGCAGGGCTAGACATAAGGATTTAGGAGGGCACAGGCACTTTGGCCTTGGCTATTCATATTTTTTTGGCCATTAAGCCTGTTGTCACAAGGCCAAAATCTGGAGTAAATTAGCTAGTGTGCAGTGGTATTGTTTTTTGTG